CACAGGGAGTGAGCTGATTGATTCTTCCTCATTTCCCTGCCCCACCCACTCCTTCTATCCATCTCTTGCCCTCCTGCCCCCCTCTCCCCCACCATTTTCCGCCAGCTCAAGTCCTGCTGGACTTGCAGCAAGCATGGGGCCGGAATTTCCCTGGGTGGGAGGCTGGGGTTGACTGCAGCTTGGCCTACCATGTGGAGTGCGATGCCCAAGGCATGGTGACCTTCATGTGAGAGAACTAACTGTAGCTGATCTTGACCCCATGTGTGCACCAACTCTTGCTGGTCTTGACCTGGATGCCTCTGTTTTCCCTCTTGCTCCAACATTTTGCGAGCTCTCTATGTGCAATAACTTCGTTGCATTTTAATGGTGCTGTTCTGTAGGCGCTAGATTTCCAAAAACTGGGTCCGCGGAATTTTCGTTGATAAGTAGACTTCTGCCTGTCAAGGTTTGGTGATACGAGAGGTCCCGCCAGACCTGTTTGCGCCAAATTTAACGCTTCAGCCTGCAGAACACCACTTATGGGGTGCAGGAATTTAACGGGGTGAAGGTTCCAGGATGCTGCATCGTAAGGCAAATGTCTGCACAACTTGTGCGCTCGCTATTCAACCTCAAAATTTAGAATCAGCCAGCGCATAAGTTGTGCGGGTCAGCAATTTGAGAGGTTGCGAGATTTGGCGAGACATTGTGGCAACAGCCGTCCGGCAAATTGAGAAGCTACTTGGAAGGACTTGCCCGTACGTTTCATGCGGAAGCATTTACGGCTACAGAACAGCCCCAACGAGTGAACCTTTGATGGCCATGCATCTGTGTGGTTCTTTGTTCTTCAAGAGCACTCTCTTCTTCAACTTCATTTCGTGGTCCTCCTCTCATCAGAGCCTACTTTCTTTTTTTATCAACCTCCGCTTCTATTGTAGTTGAATTCATTTTAAGGGTAATGTTGCTGTGCTTCTAGTACAGGCATACCTGTAGTACTTCTATCAACGCCCAAGTCAGAGAACTAGTTGCCATGCTGAGGGGCAACCATTGTAACTGCAGCAGGTTTGTGTTACAAAGGAGTTCTGCTGGAGTTTGTCAAGGAAGAAGTAGAGGTGGAAGGAGGGAGGCGGCATGGTGCATTATGCATATGAGAGGTAAGAAAAGGTTCGCAGTGAGTGCACTGGAGGCCTGCTGGAGGAGTTGCTACGTCCATGGAGTTCCCATGCGAGAAACCGTGTGGGGATTAGATTTACGTTGCCATTGTCTTCTATCAATAGCAAATGCTTTCTTTCCAAATGTAACCGCAGAATCAAAACGTCTTCTGAAAACGTAGACACGTAACGTGGGCATATTATGTGGTATGAGGTGCTATTGCTGTCTAACGTAGCCTATTGCTGTCTAACGTAGAAACGTAACCTATTGCTGTGGGCTATTGCTGTGGGCTATTGCTGTCTAACGTAGAAATGTAACCTATTTTGTCATCCCCCGTTCTCTTTTCCATTTCCCTTGCGTGGCTGATATTTGAAGGACTTTAGTGCAGCAAAATGCTACTCTAAGATACCTCTCAAGTTGCCATCATCTCCATGCATGAACGCACAAGTCGACAACATGTGCGCTGCACGGGCCTTTCCTTCTCAGATAGTACCCAAATCACCTTGATGGGTTCACCAATGTTTCCTTTTCTTTCACGCTTGATATCGTTTCCTCATAAGATACAAGTTTCCCCACCCATTCCATACCACTTCCCACCAGCTATTTAATTAGGGAAGGCTTAACCGGATCCATTCCAAGTTACATCACTGCCTTGGACAGGCTGTTCCATTTGTGAGTATGAGTGGGAGCTTGCACACAGGCTGATCCATTTGTGAGTATGAGTGGGAGCTTGCACACAGGCTGACCCATTTGTGAGTATGAGTGGTAGGTTGCACACAGGCTGATCCATTTGTGAGAATGAGTGGGAGCTTGCACACAGGCTGATCCATCTGTGAGAATGAGTGGGAGCTTGCACACAGGCTGATCCATTTGTGAGTATGAGTGGGAGCTTGCACACAGGCTGATCCATTTGTGAGTATGAGTGGGAGTTTGCACACAGGCTGATCCATTTGTGAGAATGAGTGGGCGTTTGCACATAGGCTGATTCATTTGTGAGAATGAGTGGGTGTTTGCACACATGAGTGTGAGCATGTAGAGATGGGCATGCGCACAGATGAGAAAGAGCAAGGAAGGAGCAATGGTCTACACGTGACCAACTCATGATGAGCCAGGGGTGACCATTATCGTACGATGGCCAGCCATTGGCTGGCTTGTCACAAGCCGAAGGATGCCCTTCTAGGTTCCTGGTGAACGTACCACAGTTTTTTTGTGAAAATGGTGAAAATGGTAGTAAGAAAGATCCATTTCCATGACATCCTCCCAAACTGGCGAAACCTTCTTCCATGTCCAAAGTAGTGTAGCAAAAATATAAAGATTGAGTCTTGACAACTTGCAACTCTCCATGAAGTGTAGCAGAGGGGAGCCATAAGCTTGTGTGAGTATCCCTCTTGAATTAGCTACTGCAACCATAAATTTCCACATGCTTATCTCTGCAGCAAACATTTCCGTCTTGTCTATAGCTTTGTCGGTAGTCACACCCTCAAGTTTAGAGAAACCCTCGCTTGTGAGCCCCAGCCCGGCAGAGCCTTTGAAAATTGATCAGGTTTTCATGTCAGTATTCATTGTCTAAAGTCTAAATATTAACATTTGACTATCTCAGGGCAGCGTTCTGAGCACATTTATTCACCTACATTTCTTTACCTGGTTATCCACTTTGGCCACTAGTCATCATCGATCTCCTTGCTATAGCTGTTTTGATGTATACACATTTTTGCGTGTTTGTGTAACATTCAGAAGAGCGCCTCAGTTGGTATCTCTCGTTCTTCATTCTTGTGATGCCTGCTCTATACAGCATTGTGTTACTCGACACGTCGGGGACACGTTGTGACAGGTATCTTGTATGACATCTTCCATTCCCATAAATGACTATTAGAGTTCGTGTGAGCTATCACGATTACATGTTCAAATCCCACTTCTCACTTCCCAGAACCACTACCTCTCCTTCCCTTGAATGACCCCCTTCACGTGTACGTACCATCAGGTCTCTACAGTATAGCAGGTTGACTGGATTTTTACCTTCCAGCATCGGCAGCATGAGCAACCTTACTGTCCTGTCAGTATCAAGCAGATCTGCTTAAAACTTCAACTTGGCTTGCATGGCTCCAATTCATTCTTTCCAGACGTAGAGAATCAGGCCTCTGATTTCCCAAAGTGATCCATGCGTTCCATCTTGGGAATAGCTGCTGCAACCATAATTTCGCCTGCTTATCCCTGAAGCAATTGATTCCTGATAGTGTACAACTTTGTCGACAGTTACACCCTCAAGTATAAAGAAACCCTAGTATGTGAGCCCCCAGCAGAGCCTCCAGGATTCTTATCCTTGTGCACATGAACAAATATTTCCAAGGATTATGGCATTGTCGATTCAGTATTCAATAAAATGTTACCATTTGGCTATCCTAGCACAGCGTTTTGAGAACATTCGTTCACCTACATTTCTTTACCTGTTAGGTACCTCGTGTGACATTCAGATGTGGGCGTAACATCTTCTACTCCCATAATTGCTTAGAGTGTGATAAGCTATCACGACTACATGTTCAACTGTCACAATTTTTTCAAATCTCGCTGCCACTTCTCTCCCCTTCTAATTACTTACTCTATCTCTATCTCTCTCTTCCCTCGGATGGAACTCTTTATGTGTATGTATATCAGGTCTCTAACGAGCAACAATCTGACAGGGTCTATTCCATCTACCATCGGCAATATGAGCAGCCTTATGTACTTGTAAGTATCAAGGACATTGGTTGTTGAACTTTCACCTTTGGCTTGCATGGCTCCAATTCATTTCTTCACCTACAACTTCAGCCACTCACGGTGGTGCACAAAAGCCTCACGGCAAGGTCGTGCAAGGTTCAAGCGACAGGATACATGGGCAAGAGAGATTCGTTTTCTTCCACGCATGGGCAGGAGAGTAAGGGAGAAGTTCTCTAAAATCGAGCCGGTAACTAAGGGCAGAAACCGAGGTGTTAATGTTAGCCTTCAATCTCACATTTTGTACTTATACTATTTATATCCTAGGTTAGTGTAGCTTGCACTTTGTGTCACATCCCAACCAAACCCAAATGTGATATGCAAGCAATCTCCAACCCATCAATTGGAGATTTCCTTGGGATAACCCCCAATCCCTAGACATTGTCCCTGATTTCCTTCCCCATCATTTCCTTGCTCATTTCCAATGTAGATAAAAAGCCTTGAGCTCACTACTATTGCATGAATTTTAAGGTCAAGTTCTGACACCAGGGCCACGGGATATAGCTGACATTAACTCCATCATGCCCAGACCAAGTCTTCAATACAACCATTCTCAATCTGCCCTCATGTTTGGTCAAAGCTAAGCTAGCTCTGGGCCCTTCCATCAAGCCATAAAAGTTCTTGCCAAAACTGCTAATTACAGATTTTGCCTGTTTGAATGCAGACAGCCAGTCAAAGCTAAGCTAGCTTCGAGCCCTTCCATCAAGCTAAAGAAGTTCTTGCCAATACTCCTAAATGAAGAAATTTTGCCTGTTTAAATGCATATGTGGTTACGCCGAGTCAGTCAGCATGATAACCCTAGTTGAATTAATTTGTCCCTTGCTGCTCATGCAGGTGCCTTTGCTTGGTACTTATCATCTCATCATCTATATTGGTTTTGCCAGAATGTTGCACTGTACAAATCCCAGAATTTGCTAAGTTGTAGCAGCCTTAACCTTTGCTGCGTAATTAGTGTAGTCAGCGTGCCCCCTTCTCTCCGTTAATCACAGTGACTTGGTAAGCAACCAGCTCTCAGAAAGCATCCCTGCTGAACTCAGTGCACTCACTCAACTAAACCATCTGTGAGATACAGCCCATCTCTTGGATTTTACCTTGCCTGCCTTTCCTCTTTGTCTCCTGCACTAAAGCCTCTCCTTCCCTTCATTGCCATTGTCATCATCATCGTCGTCATCGTCGTCGTCGTCGTCGTCGTCCTCGTCCTCCTCCTCCTCCTCCTCCTCCTCCTCCTCCTCCTCCTCCTCCTCCTCCTCCTCCTCCTCCTCCTCCTCCTCCTCCTCCTCCTCCTCCTCCCCCTCCACAAACCTCCTCCCCCCTATCCTCCCCCCTTCCCCCCCCCCTTCCCTTGGTATGAACTGCTTGATTATTGTTGATAAATGCCTCCTACCAATACTACATGTATAGCATTGAAAAAGGAAAAATATTTCTGTTGTTTTGTCTCGTCCCATTTTTACAATCACCACCCCTCTTCTCACTTAAACCTCCGTCTTTTCCCTGTCTTTGCCTTTTCAAGGAGATTTCTCTTCCAAATTTCCTAACTGTGACACCACTATCATCATTGTGCAGGTGACTTGACAGAATCCTCACTGGCTCAACCCCGCTTGAGATTCAGTATTCCTTTCCACCCATAACACCTTTTGATTTGCATGTTGAATAATCAGGCACCTCTCCAACAACGCCCTGAGTGGGTCTATTCCATCCACCATCGGCAGCCTGAGCAACCTAGAAACATTGTGAGTGTCATCGGGAGAATAGGAACAGAGCCTATACGTCCTCGCAAAGGCTCAAAATTTGAGGGCCTGCGATGTTGACACTTTGTCAATCTTATTGAAGAATTATCATAGGCGCTAGGCATGAGCACAGGCTGGCGTTGGGCCGAGCCTGGCCACTGACCCACTTAGAGGCATGCAAGAGGTCTGCAGCAAGGAGACATGCTGTAGTCGGCCGCTATTCCAAGAGAAGCAACCAAAATTCTGGTCTCATCCGTATGGACATGGCATTTCTTGTCATAGAACATGACCTTACTGTAGCAAGCTGACCCTCGTCCAGTTGCTCATAAATGCCGGACCAAGCCTCACAGGCCGAATAAGCAATAAGGTCATTCTGGCCCGTATGCTGAGGCTGGCCCCAGCAAGGACAACCTTGGTTCGGGCCAGTAGTTATGTCTAATGCACTCATGCTAGCCCTATCCTGCCAGTATGATCATGTCTCACCACAAATTTCTTCCGTTGGAATGTCTATGGGCATGAAAACTGCTGCAGGAGGAGAGTGGGCTTGAGGAGAGGTCAAAGCCAAGCTGGGTTGTTTAAGTGCATGATGAGCTGACTCTTAGATGAGTCGAGTGGGCAGCTGATTGAGCCTGAGGCTGGTCACTGTCTTCCTGCTGCACATGGATATGGCAGTTTGCTGGTGGATGCTAAACGGTGGTCAGTGGCATTGTCCAACCAGCCTCATTCTTCTGCCTACATTTGTTGCCCCCAAGTCGTTCAAAAACCTGTGGAGTGTGGAGCTGCCGGAAGATTTTTTTTGGGACAACCTGCTGCCAATGGCACAGTGGAATCCGCCAATGGTGCAACACAATCCTCATATGACTAAACAGAAAGTGCCTTTGGGAGGAACCGCATTCAATCAATAGAAGAGCAGGGCGAGGAGAGGCTAAGGAAACGTAGGCTTAGAGGGGTTGAACGAAGAGGAATGGCCCACCTTGTGCCTAATGCAGCAAAAGAAAATCCAGCTCTTCCACAGATAGTGAGGATACCAGAGAGAAAGATCTCGTCAATTCCAAGCCGTAACATACGCGATATGAACTTGAACTGTGTAGCTGTAGTGAAACAAATAAAGCTTCAGCTCTACCAAATCGTGAGCCACATCTGTGCAACACAAGTTGGATTTCATGGGTCTCTGTTGGGCGGCGACAGGATGCGTTGAAAATTAGAATCCAGCCCAGGTTCATGAAGGATAAATGTCCTGGTCTAATTAGCTCACTTAGCCTCAAACAAGGCTCTGCAATATTCAGGCGACAGGATACATGGGCCAGAGAGATCCTTTTTCTTCCACGCATGGGCAGGAGAGTAAGGGAGAAGTTCTCTGAAATCAGGCCAGTAACGAAGGGCAAAGACCCAGGGCCACGAGATATAGCTGCCAATAAATCCATCATGCCCAGATCAAGCTCCCAATCCAGCCATCCTCAACCTGCCCTCATGAGCTAAGAGTTAGCCATAAGCTCCCGTTCTCATCAAACTATAGAGCTCCTTGCCAACGCTGCTAAAATCGAAATTTTGCCTGTTCAAATGCGGACAGTAAAGACATCATATTCTGAACTATGCTGTGCTAAAAACTGTGTATTCACAGCTGTTTCAGGTTATTGTCAAACCCTGCTATGTAGATCTACCACGATCAACATTGTGCATCCTATGTCCTTCTGTTGCTTGTATATATGTCCATGTTTGCGTGCTTGTGAAATGCTCAAAATAGCTCATGTTGTCCCTATCTGTTTTCATTTCTTAAAATGACTGTTTCTTGCAGCATTGTGTTAGTCAATGGCAGAGTTTAGGAGATTGTTTCCGTTGTGCTCATAATAAGGCAAAATTTAGAGTAGGTAGCTTGTATCACAATCACAATTCAGCATGTCATGTTTTCTCTAGTACCTGCACTACTGAGATATCACTGGAACCTTCCTACCATTCAGTTCATTCTTTCTCTTGTTGTATCAGTCTCATGACACCCCTTGCATGTGCCTGTGAATCGTAGTAGGGTTTGATTTTATTTGCTACTATATAAAACACACATGCAGCCTGTGTCCTTGAATCGTCTCCACCTATAACACCCTCTGCTTTGCATGTTGTTTGATCAGAAATCTTTTCAACAACGCTCTGAGTGGGTCTATTCCATCCACCATCGGTAGCATGAGAAACCTCTCTATGATGTGAGTATCATCAAGGGATCAAGAATGAGAGCAAACCAACATAACCTCGCACAGGGTCATACACAAGGGGGCCTGTGATGGTGACACTAAATTAGCATGTTCTGAGAATGAGCATACACGCTAGGCATGAGCATACATGCTAGGCATGAGCATACACGCTAGGCATGAGCATACACGCTAGGCATGCACATACATGCTAGGCATGAGCATACACGCTAGGCACGAACATACACGCTAGGCACGAGCATACACACGAGGCACAAGCATACTTGCAAGGCATGAACATACACGCTAGACATGAGCATACACGCAAGGCATGAGCATACACTCTAGGCATGAGCATACACGCTAGGCACGAGCATACACCCTAGGCACAAGCATACACGCAACGCACAAGCATACTTGCAAGGCATGAACATACATGCTAGACATCAGCATACACGCCAGGCATGAGTAGCACGCTAGGCATGAGCATACACGCTAGGCACGAGCATACAAGCTAGGCACGAGCATACACGCTAGGCATGAGCATACACTCTAGGCATGAGTATACACTCTACGCATGAGCATACACGCTAGGCATGAGAATATGGGCTAGGCATGAGAATACACGCTAGGCATGAGAATACACACTAGGCATGGGAATACATGCTAGGCATGAGAATACACGCTAGGCATGAGAAAACATGCTAGGCATTAGCTAGGCCTGGTGGTGCCGGGTTCAGACAGGCCGTTGACCCAGGGGCCAACCTGGGGGTTGGCCTGTGATGGCTCGGTTCCACACCCAGCTCGCCAGAGTTCTGCAGCAAGGAGAGGTGCTAGGGTGACCCACTAATCTGGACAAAGCTGGGAGGCAAGGGAGGGGCGGTTGTGGTGGTGGTGGTTTTTGGCTTGATGACTGCTGGGGCTGTGGATCAATAGAATTATATAATTGTGATAGGATGTGCGGCTCCTGCAACAATCTGAAGTCAACACGTTAGGCATTTTATCTCCGTCTCCAATTGTCTCCTGTCTTCTACCATCTTTGGTTCACTTTCTGTAAATGTAAAACCTCTGGCATGTATGCACCATCAGGAAATAGCAATTATTTGACTGTGTTTATTCCGTCTATTATCTGTCATCCTCATTGCAGTAATGTTAGTGGGAACAACCTCACTGGCCAGCTCCCTCCAACAATAGGCAATCTCCCCCATCTCTATAGTCTGTAAGGCATCTTCACGTATTAACATGTTGTATTTTCTACCACTCTAACTTTGAAGCGTTTCCAAAGTGAAGGCGTAGGTACTTAGGTAGGGGTGTTCCACTGGTGTAACGTAGCCCAAGTTTATTGCAGCCACAGGTAGGAAGTAATCAAGGTACCAATGGCCAGACTTGGACTGGCCCGGCCAAATCCTCGTCGACCTGACGATTATCGAACTGGGCTGTCAATAATAGTCCTTTCTCTAAGGAGAAACCCAATGCAAGCCTTACTGGGAGTTTTAACCTGCCACGCACTCTGGCATGGAAGAGTATTGCAATGCTTCCTCTCCAGTAGCAACGAAAAGGATATTTTCTTCTTATTGATGGATCAAATCACTCCGTGTGCACATGCAGGAACTTTTCTTCGAACAAAATCACATGCCCTTCGGACTACAGCAGTTGCGTGGTCCCACAGACCACTTCCAGTGCTTTCTGCGAGCAATGTGGCTCTTTCTGCTCCACATGTTTACCAACAGGTGAAATACAATCTTGTTATGCAGGTGGCTGCTATGTATACTGCCTTGTTATGCTCTCATTTGTACTGATGCACAAACACTGCATTGCTACCTGCATAACAAACTTTTCCAATGCCATGCGGCCACAACAACTTAGCTATTCCTCACAAAATTCAACACCTGTTGTATCGCACTTCTGTTGTGTACTTGCTCGTGACTTTCACTGAACAGTATTTTCTCCAAACCTTCAATGCCTTTCTGGGCTTTCTCATCGTGTGCAAACTGTACCTTATCGCACATCCCCTTTCAACAACCCCAACATCATCCCCATTCTCGCCTCCATTCCATATCTCCATCTTCCTATGCCATGAATGTACCCTCATCATTGCCAGTTCCCCCTCCCTCCCCGTCTGGAGGCGGTTTGTCCAATGGAGCCATTGCCGGCATTGCTGTTGGTGGCTTTATGGCCATCCTCGTGCTTCTGCTGCTGAGCTGGCTGCTGTACAAGCGATGCCACACCAAAGAGGCAGCAGGAGGAGGCGTTATAAGTACTAATGTGGATGGCAAGAACATGACAGAAGCAAGTGTGGTCCAAGGTATGAGATTTCCATTCCAAGCTGTTCCATATCTTCCATCATCCGTAGCATCCTCCTTCTCTGGTTTCTCATCAACTTTCGATTTCTCGTTTTCATCCTATCACCTCCTTCACAACCTCTCACAGACTCAGAACATGATTATTCAAAAGCAGCACCCAGAGCAGAGGAAACGGACCTAGAAGTTGTGGCTGCAGGAGCCGCTTCACGGGAAAATCAGAGGGACGTGGTGGTGGAGGTGGAGGCAGTGAAGCCACATGTGTGCCAGAAGTTCACTCTGGAAGAGCTCGCAAGCGCAACGGGAGATTGGGCAGAGGGGAACAGGATTGGCAGCGGCAGCTTCGGAG